AGGGGATCTTTCCCATCTAGGGATCAAACCCAGGTCTCCCGCACTGCAGGCAGATTCTTTACTGTCTGAGCCACCAGGCAAGCCCAAACAAGGGAATCAACCCAGATAATTGTGGGTAAGTACAGTCTAGATAAATAGGGTGAAAAAAAATAGGGTGAAGGAAAGACACCAGTGGGAGAGGAGGAGGGTGCTGTGTTAGGAGGTGTGGTGTTGTGTTTGCCTGCCAGGCAAAATCAACTGATATTCAGGTCTCAGGTTCAGGGTTCAAATCTCAGGTAAATGCCTCCTCCCAGCAAAGCCCTTCCTTCCCTCCCAGGTGGGGTGGTACCCTAGGGTTATATCCTAACAGCCTACCAGTGCATTTTCTTTTTCTTAATAATTTTATTTATTTATATTTACGACTTCCCTGATAGCTCAGTTGGTAAAGAATCCGCCGGCAATGCAGGAGACCCTGGTTGGACTCCTGGGTTGGGAGAATCTGCTGGAGAAGGGATAGGCTACCCACTCCAGGATTCTTGGGCTTCCCTTGTGGCTCAGCTGGTATAAGAATCTGCCTGCAATGCGGGAGACCTGGGTTCGATCCCTGAGTTGGCAAGATCCCCTGGAGAAGGGAAAGGCTACCCACTCCAGTATTCTGGCCTGGAGAATTCCATGGACTGTGTAGTCCACAGGGTTTATTTATATTTAGCTGTGCTGGGTCTTCATTGCTGGGTGGGCTTTTCTCTAGCTGAGGCTCCAGGGCTTCTCACTGCCTTGTTCATTGTTTGTTTCCTCTCCTAGAATGCAGCTTGTTAAGAAAAGATGCTCTGTCAGTCCTGGTCATCCCTTCTCCCCGTTGCCTGTAGTGCTGGCCCAGAGCGGACACTCCATTTGTCCTGAAGGGATGAGCCACCGACAGACACAGAGAGGCTGATCGACCTGGGATGATCAGCAGCGAGAGGCTTCTTTTGTTCTTTTGCTGCGGAGCACCAGCTCTAGGGTGCACAGGCTTCAGTAGCTGCAGCTCCCCAGCTCTAGAGCACAGGCTCAGTAGTTGTGGCACACGGGCTTGGATGCTCTGTGCCATGTGGGATCTTCCTGGATCAGGGATCGAACCTGTGTCTCCCGCATTGGCAGATGGATTCTTTACCACTGAGCCACCAGGGAAGCCCCTATCAGTGCTTTTCCTAACACATCATAATCACGATTGGCTGCTGGGTGTCTCTTTCCCCTCCTACAGCTCCAACGTGCCCTGCTCTCCCATCCAGTGCTTTTAACAGTGGCTGCAGGCTCCCAGTTCATATTGTTAGACAGCAACTGAGAGTCAGGCTAAATGGCTGCCAGCTTCCGAATCCCACACCTCTAATCAGAGCACTTCCTGAGGACAAATCCTTCTACTGGAGATATGTTTAGGAAATATGCTTTTTCACTACATAATGAGCCTTTTAATACGGAACACGCTAATGAGAAAATTAGGAAGACTGTACTGATGATGGAAGGCTGCAGTGTCTGAGGGCAATTATTTCAGTGACAGTATCACCATTAGAAAGATGGCTAAAATTCATAAGGAAATCCACTGGACAATAACAAATGAATTTTTAAAACTTCAGTGCAGGACTTCCCTGGTGGTCTAGGGGTTGAGAGTCTGCCTGCCCATGCAGGGGAGGAGGGCTCGATCCCTTGTCCAGAAAGATTCCACATGCCAAAGGGCAGCTAAGTCCTGAGCCCGCCTGCCCTAGAGCCCCTGCGGTGCAACAAAAGCCGCCGGCAGGGAAAGCCCGAGCGCCACAGCCAGAGAGCAGCCCCAGTCGCCGCCACTAGAGAAAGCCCAAGCAGGAACGAAGACCCAGCACAGCCAAAAATAAGTTAAAAAAACAAAAAAAAATTCAACGTAAACAAAGTAAAGCAGCAAGTCCGTTCAATATTCTGGGCCAATGAAGACTACGACTGGGTGGAAAGCAGGAGAGTCTGACTGTCCTGGGCTTGAGATGCCACCAGATTTCCAACCCCAGATCCTGCCATATCACAGGGGAAGTGAGTGATACTTTACCTGTCAAAGGCAAGGTGTCACTTTAACCAAGATTTGTTGCCTGTCCTCTTTGATAAATGGGATTGAAAACCTCTGCCTTTAGGTAAAGGATTTTGTTTTCAGTTTTATTTCCTTTCTACATCTTTGCTCTTTTCTCTAATTGCCCTCTTGTGATGAGAGTCTGAGAGCCCTTGCCCTTTCACAAGAACTTGTGGTTTCCCCATCACTCCCTGGTCCTCACCCCCGCCCCCCATGTGGCAGCTGTGGTGGCCCTGAAATAGTGGCCAGAGTTTTTAAGATCTAAGCTCTGTCTGGGCCCAATTCCAACAAATCATAGAAGGCTCAGTCTAGAAAAAAGAAAAAAAATGTCCCGATGGTATAGTTCCCCCAGAGGTCGCCTCCTTCTGATTCTTCTGGTATTCCAAGCACATCAGTGGACTTGGGGTCCTGGGAACACAAACAGGCCCTCTGTAGAGTGGAGGGTTTTTTTGGAGAAGCAGGAAAGGGGAAAGATTTATACACCATTTTCTGCATTTATTGAAAATGTTTAGTTTCTAAACTGCATATGTAGTGGAATGTGTGTGTGTGTGTGTGTATGTGTGTATGATAGCTGACTCTAAGGAAAATATGAATATTAAACCACATAGGAACAATCCCAAGGGAAAAAAACCATAAAGAGACATTTCAAAAAAAGTTTAGAATTCAAGAAAATTTGTATTTTCTCCTGCAGAGAAATAAAGGACCCGTGAATAGTGATTCTAAAAATATACAGGATGGCTCCAGTAGTTTCAAGGGGAATGAAAGAGATATAGCCAACTTCAAGTATTTTTTCTGAAATTGCATAAAAGGAGGGGAGAAAAACACTGAGTTAGTTTTTGAACCTGGAGACTTGAGTAATTACCGTCATTAGAACAAACTGCTTCAGAATCTGAGTCATTTGAGGTTCTTGCCCAACTGGCAATGACTTGAAAAGAATGAGGAAGCACATGTTTTCTTCCCAGCTGTACAACACAATGGTAAATTGTGCCCACTGCCTTGAACTTGTGAGCTTGGCTGCATAACTGGAATAAGCAATTGGCAGACATCAATCCCATGCCCCTATTTACGTACAGAGGAAAAAACTAGGAATCGAGGGGCAGGTACCACGTCCTGAAGGAGCTAAATAAACACTCAGGTTGGAAAGATGAAGCACAGAAATCACACAGGAAAAGAATAGAACAGCAGTATTGTCTTTCCCAATAAATTTCCATAATGGACAGGGTTTCTTGAGAGAAAGAAAACTGAAAGGATAAAAGGAGAAAACAATTACTTGGAATAGAGATTCTGGTATGTGTTAGTCGCTCAGTCATACCTGACTCTTTGCGACCCCATGGACCGCAGCCTGCCAGGCTCCTCTGTCCATGGGATTCTCCAGGCAAGAATTGGAGTGGGTGGCCATTTTCTTCTCCATGGGATCCTTCTGTCCCAGGGATCAAACCCAGGTCTCCTACATTGCTGGCAGACGCTTTACCGTCTGAGCCACCAGGGAAACCTTCATAGATTCTGGAGTCCATATTTATTTGAATGACCAATCAACTGCCTAGAAGATAAGGTCGTCTCTCTGTAATGTGTACAGATTTTGACTCATAAAGAAAGAAAACAGCCGTGAGGCTTTAATCAGCTCTCTGAAGAAAGCAACCCTGTTCCTCACAGCTGACCCAAGCTGTTGTGGAAACATGGATCCTTACTGTTCATTAAAGATACTCATACTGAATACTTACATAGACTTGTGCTAAACAACAGGGATAGAGATAAAGAAGTTCCAATCCTTTTCTTCAATTCAGACTTTTTTTCTTTTTGGCCAAGTGTCAGTCTTGAGGAATCTAAGCTCCCCAGTCAGGGATTGAACCTGGGCCCCTGGCACTGAAAGCACAGAATGCTAACCAGACTGGACTGCCAGGGAATTCTCCAGTTCAGACATTAAAGTCGGATTTTATCTTGAAATTATGATGCAATATGGTAAGTGCAATAAAACAGAATTTTAAATGAACTCTTTTGGCAACATGGTGGGCTGGCTACACCACATACAACCCCATGATACCAGACAAATTAATCATTCTCAAGCCTGTTTCTTCATCTTGTAAAACAAGGATACTATGAGTACCCACTTTGGGACTAGTACATAATAGAGGACAGTAAACATAGTCACTACTCGTTATTTTTATTATTTGTCATTATTATTGTCATATATTGACAATTAGGCTATGGGAGGAAAGATTAGTTCAACAGGTAGAAAATCAGCCCAAAAGAATGCTCAAAGCACTTGTGAATATGCAGTACCTATTTTTCTGGAATGCAATTGAGTCACATTTTACCGAGGGACAGTTTCTTCCCAGCAAAATGAGACTACGTCCCATGTTGTAGCATTGTGAGAATTCCCTGAAAGTAAACGTCAAGTTCCAGAGTGCAGGGGCCCACCCAATGGAAGCCGGTGTTTCGCTAGGGGAATTCTGGGCAATCGGGAAAACTGGGCAAGAGCACGTCCCAGCTCTGGCCTTCCCTCTTCCAAGACCGCAGGACGTCAGTCCCTGAGCGTGTTCGCTGTCGGGTCCTGAGTTTGGCGGGAAGGTCCGGGGGCCCCGGCTCCTACCCGCACCAGGCAGGATGCTCCTACCCCTCCAGGCCTGCCGGCGCGCGGCCCCATCTCAGCACGGCGCTTCCCGACGTGCCGCGCGGAGAGGGCTTCCCAGACAAATCAAAGACGAAAACCAACCTATGTCCCTTCCTGGAGCGACCAGCGATCTCGAAAAGCCGCGCAGTCGGTTCTCGCCTTCCTCTTACTCCAGAGGCCGGACGCCAGGTCTCCCATAGCAACTGCAGCCAATAGCAACGGGCGACCAGCCCTGGCAGGGCCCTCTGCGCAGGCGCGAGAGGGGGCGGCCCCACGGCTTCCGTTCGCGCCCAGCGTCCTTCGGAAATAGGGGTGGGATCTGCGTGATGACGTCACGGGCCGGGGTTACGGTGGCGGGAAAAGGCGGCGCGAGAATGGAGGCGCAGGAGAGCGGTGGTGGCACGGGCGAGTGCGGGGCCCAGGACGCTGCTCCAGGCCCTAGCAAGGCCCCCGGCAGCGCCGGCCACTACGAGCTGCCGTGGTGAGGACCCAGGCCATCCACGATGGGGTCCCTGAACGTGCGGGTGGGCGAGCGGCGGGCCGTGTGTCCCAGCGTGACGCAGGGGCGGGAGTTCATTCACTTGAGCAGAGCAGGAGGTCCCAGGGTGGTGTCCAGTGGGTTATTATTTGAAGGCGGTAAGAGCTGTGGGTCGCTGAACCCCCCTGGGGTGCAGAGTGGCCAGTCTGAACTCTGGAAGCGGCGTTTTGATCACAACCCTGCTGACTGATAACAGCCACCCCCGGCCACCACACACTCTTGCACCAGGCGCTCTGCCGCCTGGGACTCTGATGATCGCTGGACGGAAAGTGTCGGACGCAGGTTCGGAATCGGGGATGGTGTTGCAGAAGGCACCGGCCTATTCTCCGTGGCTTGCTCACTTTAAATAGCAGCATCCTGGGGAGCTGGGAGGAAATGGTGACTTAGGGAGTCACCCGTCACTGGCCCAGGTGTTGGGCAGGCTTTTTTTGGGGGTCCCGCTCCCGGAGCGCACCTCTCACAACTCTCTCCACTGGGCGTGGTCATGGTTTCCTCCCTGCCCCCGCGGTGTATTCCCATCCCTCCAGCCCACCCCACTTCTGGGTGAGAACAGATATCTAAATGAAGGGCAGTATAATTTATTGGAATATATACGCTGCGCTGTGCAGTCCCCCAGCCACTAGCCACATGCGTCTGTTGAGCACTGGAGATGATGCTAGTCCGAACTGAGATGGATTGTAAGTGTATAGCATACACGGGATTTCAAGGACTTAGTTTTTTTTTAATCTCATTATTAATTTTGATTACATGTTGAAAATAATAATACTTTTAATATATTAGTTTCTCTATGTTAGTATAATTAAGCTCATCCAATTTTACCTTTTTAAACGTGGCTGAGAGAAAGTGTAAAATGACATACGTGGTTTGCCTTGTAAATTTCAGGCACAACCCTATTTTAGATGCTTAAAGATAGTGTGAAAAGCAAACTGTTGCCACAGAGCTCACATTTGATAGAGAAAGACAACAAAGTGAAAAATCAACAAGTAGACATATAGTATATTTGATGCTGGGAAAGATTGAGGGCAAGAGGAGAAGGAGGTGACTGGATGTGATGGTTGGATGGTATCACCCACTCAATGGACATGAGTGTGAGCAAACTCAGGGAGATAGTGAAGGACAGGGAAGCCTGGCGTGCTGCAGTGCTTGGGGTTGCAGAGTCAGACCTGACTCAGACACCGAACAACAACAGTATTTGATGGTGCCAGGCTCTGTGGCGCAAATAGCTGTGGTGGTAAGGGAAGGCCTGTGATGAGATGGTATTTGAGTAAAGACCTGAATTCAGGCAGTAAGCCATGTGACCATTCAGAGAGAGAGCTTTCAGGCACGGGGACCAGCCGAGAAGTCCCTTGAGGAGAGTGTGTTTGTCTTGTTCAAAGTCCAGCTCAAATTTCAGCTCCAAACAACCCCGGGTGACAAGTCCTCCTTCCCCCGACTTCCGCAGCCTGTGCTTTATATAATCTGCTTAGCTTTGTCATAGAATTTGCTAAGCTCTATCTCCCCTCTAGTGGGAAAGCCCTTGATAGCAAGAACCGTGCCCTGTTCATCTCTGCACCTACTTTTCTCCTCCTGAGAGTTCTGACTCCTTCCACGGCACTTGGTAAAGGGGGGCTGCATGTGAAGAATAAATGAGTAGGACCAAGCATGCTCTCATCTGCTGACCCTGGAGGAGAGCTGTCCCTTTCTTTTCTGCAGTACGTGGCAAACAAGCTTCTTTGCGTCCAGCTGCTTTTGGGGCAAGACCAGGACCTGGAGGGGGTCCAGCTCAGAGTGAATCAGGGAGTACAGTGAAGGGCAGACGGAGTCCTGATGGTCAGATCACTGCAAGTCTGCTTCCACTTATGTTCTCAGAGCTGAAGAAAGTCACTTTTCTCTCATCACGTAGCTTGCTTGTTAATTAAAAGAGAGAAGTATTAGGAATTCCCTAGCAGTCCAGTGGTAAAGACTCTTGAGCTTCCAATGCAGGGGACGCAAGTTTGATCCCTAATCAGGGAACTGAGGTCCCGCAAGCCATGTGATGCAGTCAAAAGANCTGCAAGTCTGCTTCCACTTATGTTCTCAGAGCTGAAGAAAGTCACTTTTCTCTCATCACGTAGCTTGCTTGTTAATTAAAAGAGAGAAGTATTAGGAATTCCCTGGCAGTCCAGTGGTAAAGACTCTTGAGATCCAATGCAGGGGACGCAAGTTTGATCCCTAATCAGGGAACTGAGGTCCCGCAAGCCATGTGATGCAGTCAAAAGAAAATTAATTTTTTAAGAAAGAGAAGCGTTGTCCTAAGGCCACTAGCCTGTCCAGTCCACACAGCCTGAAAGGATGACAGGAGAGGCCTGCGGTTTCTGTCTAGCCGGCCCTGCTGGGCCCTGGCATGAGTCTTCAGACACAGGCAGGTGAGGGGTGAGAAGGGGGCTCGGCTGCATTGGTGTCTGTCAAAGCAAATGATGCCAGTGCCACGTGCCCCGGACTTGTGTTGTGACGGGAAGACTGTGATGCCACACAGTGCCATGTTGCTCCAGATGGCCAGCTCTGGCCCTGCTCCAGCATCAACAGGTGTTTCTCTGCTGTGGCAGGTTTGAAGCCTTTGGTACATGATTCACATGCACTTGACTTATCAAACAGCACTAGGACACCTCTTTAAAACCTGCAACCATTTGCTATATGTTTACTGAAAGTATATCGTCTTCTGACAAAGCTCCCAGCATCGCCCTTTTGTGCTTCTTTTCAGGTAGCATGAAAATAGCCTCGTCAACATCTTTCTGCGTTTTCTTAAAAACAGGGTTGAAAAATACAGACCAGTGAAGTTGAATGAAATTGTTGGGAATGAAGACACCGTGAGCAGGCTGGAGGTGAGTGAGTTTTTAAGGTGATTGATTTTTATTTGTATTTTTTGGCCATGCCATGCAGCCTGTGAGATTTCAGCTCCCCAACAAGGGATGGAACTCCTAACCCCTGCATTGGAAGCGTGGAGTCTTAACCAAGGAAGTCCCTGAAAGATGATCTTAAACGTCTCACTATTGTGGCTTTGACAAGCTCAAGGCATTTGGAGGAAGACAGCCACGAATCTGGAAGAATTAAGGGAATGGGAGATATTCAGTTTAGAGAGAAATCTAGAAGCTGGAGTGGGTGACTTCAAATGTTTGAAAGGCTGGCTCATTGGAGAGGACTTACCAGATTGTTTTGTATGCTTCAGAAGCATCAGTGGCAAGCTTTCTGTAAAGGCCAGTGAATAGGTATTTTAGGCTTTGAAACCATATAAGATCTTTGTCAAATATTCTGTTGTGGTGTTTTTTTTTAAGTTTTTAAAAAAATGTTTTCTTTCTTTCTTTCTGGCTGCGCTGGGTCTTTGTTGCTGTGCTGGGCCTTTTCTCTAGTTGCGGCGAGCTGGGGCTCTAGGGCGCTTGGGCTTCAGCTGTGGCTCACCGGGTTAGTTGCCCCATGGCATGTGGGATCTTCCCAGAGCAGGGATTAAACCCATGTCCCCTATGTTGGCAGCCAGATTCTCAACCACTGGCCCACCAGGGAAATCCAAATATTCCTTATTTTTTAAACAAGGCTTTAAAAATGTGAAAACCAGCCCCGGCTGGTCAAGTTGGCAGGTGAACCAGTTTTCACGAACTTTCTTTCCCTCAGGTCTTTGCAAGAGAAGGGAACGTGCCCAACATCATTATCGCTGTGAGTACCGGGTCCTGGCCCTGTGGGACGTCCTGGAGTCTGGGTTTCACCCCCCTCTTAGATACATTCTTGTGTACGGAGCTTCCTCCTCAAGGAGACTCATGATCAGAGCCCAGACCACGCCCGTCAGCCACAGGAGACGGTTCCCTCCCACCTGCGGGCTGGTTGCTGTAGAGATGGGGTGTGTGTGCGGATTGGGGTCGGGACAGTTCTAGGCGGGGGTGAGCGGGTACAGTGGTGAGCAGTAAAGAGGGAGTTCCAGTTGCATTAATTCTGTCGAAGCACTTACTGGAGACCTCGTTCCTAGGGCCCCCCGGGAACCGGCAAGACCACCAGCATCCTGTGTTTGGCACGAGCCCTGCTGGGCCCGGCTGTCAAGGATGCAGTTTTGGAGCTCAATGCCTCAAACGACAGGTACACCTTGGAAGTTAGGCCTGAAGGGTAGCGCATGTTGTACATTTTGAGTTGTCATAGAAACAGCTGATTTTCAGATCTCTGTAGCACACAGAGCTTGTATCGCCGGCTTTATGTTTCCCTTTAATCTTTCCAACAAAAGAGAACCAGGATTGCTGGCTTGGTGATGTGGCATCATAGGCACTTGACTTACTGCTTTAGTTTTTTTTTTTAAGGGAGATTTAAAAAATTGCTTTTAATTCTGCTAAAATACACATCACATGAAACTTGCCATCTTAAAATTTACCATCTTAACCATTTTTTAAAAATATATTTATTTATTTGGCTGTGCTGGGTCTTTGTGGCTGCATGCAGGGTACTTTAGTTGCAGCCTGTGGGATCTAGTTCCCTGTTATTGTTCAGTCACTCAGCCGTGTCCGACTCTTTGCAACCCCGTGGACTGCAGCACACCTGTCCTTTACCATCTCCTGGAGCTTGCTCAGACTCATGTCCGTTGAGTCGGTGATGCCATCCAGCCATCTCATCCTCTGTTGTCCCCTTCTCCTCCTGCCTGCACAGTCTTCAGTAGTTCCCTGACCAGGGATCAAACCCAGGCCTTCTGCATTGGGAGCTTGGAGTCTTAGCCACCAGACCACCAGGGAAGTCTCCCCAGTTTACTTTTTAGATACGGGATAGTTGAGGATTATGAAGTGAAGACCTGTTGAATAAAATGTCTGCAAAGTCTGCCTTTGGCTATTCCCTTGAGGACGTGGATCTTCACTCTGCAATGTTTTCCTGGTTTGGATGATGTGTGTAGACCTGAAACAGGCTCTAAATGCAGCTAACTGCTCATCAGCTATCAGGAGCACACCTGCAGTTGAGCCTTTTTGTAAATGCCAGTTCCAGGTAGCAGATACGAATTGGTTCAAGCTTACCATTACCTTCTTTTCTTCTCACCCATGTATCATCAAACTCACTAGTTTTGAAAACTTTGGTGGCTCTTAATTTTGTTGAAGAGAGGATAGCCCATAATTGCAAATATATGTAATTTTAGATTTATTAGAGTGATGAGCACCATGGCTTTTTCTTGTTCCTTTATCATCTGTTTCCTTCCAGTCACCTTGTCAAACACACCTGCCTTCAGCTTTTGATCGCTTACAGACTGTATGTAGATGTGGGTGTTCAAACCTCATCAAAGATGAATGAATACTGTCAAATGTTCTTTTAGCAAAACGGGATGGTCTGTGTTCTTGTTATAAGACATTGGGGAGCTAAGTCCTTCCTGTTGAGTGACTAACTGGATGAAAATATGTTTAGGTTTTGTCCTTAGAAATATGTTCACTCCTTGATTCTTTTTTTTTTAAATTAATTAACTTATTTGGATGCACCGGGTCTCAGTTGAGGCACACGAAGTCTTTAGTTACGGCATGTGGAATCCAGTTCCCCGACGAGGGACTGAACCCAGGCCCCCTGCACTGGCAGCCCGGCATCTTAGCCACTGGACCACCAGGGAAGTCCCACTCCTCGATTCTTAAGTTTGAGAAAATTCATGGAGGATTTTGGCATCCAAGGACTCTTAAACTCTGAAATTATGTGATCAATTTCACCATCATCATCAGAGTCTAGACTCCTGTCTCACTGCTTCATTTTCTGACTTGTCTAATAATGATGAAACATCTTCCTCTGCCATTTCTCTGACATGGGTAGAAAATGAAAAATTTTGAATTTTCCACTGTGGTCAAAGATAGCATTCAGATGGTGTATCTGAACTACTTTTGCATCTTCTAAAGATAATGTAGAACCTCACAAAACAATCAGAAACTGAGGGATGGGGCAATAGTTAGTAACAGTTTTTTCCCCTCAGTATTGCAAAAGCAATTCCATCAGCATTTCATTTTCTTATTATTTTAGTCTTTTGTAGCATAGTTGGGAATTATTGATGAGTAATGATAAAACAATTACTTGGATGATGAAATAGCAAATGTTTCCAGGTACAGAATGGGAGATGTAAGATTATGGAGACCCCCAAAATATATCTTAGATTGTAAAAGGGTCCAGTGGACCCATATGATAATTGCAAGATAAAATATGTTTTCATTCCATTTTTCAAAAGGAAGTAAATTTTTTTCCCCTTTGTTCTTCAGAAAACCTCCAAGAAGGAATAAGAGTAATGAAATGTCAGTCCTTATAAATAGTGAGAGTTGCCCAAAAAGAGAGACTTTGAGTCTAAATTGGGTCCATGGTGGTGTCCTGAGGGTTGAAATTCCCCCGTGGAGGTGACTGAATTGGTCTCAGTGACAATAACCTTGTGGCTCATCGTTCCAGGGGCATCGATGTTGTGAGGAACAAAATCAAAATGTTTGCCCAGCAGAAAGTCACCCTGCCCAAAGGACGGCACAAGATCATCATCCTGGACGAAGCAGACAGGTAGGGGCCTTGCTGAGAACCCGTCACCATGACCCCCAAGTCTCCTGCCTGGATTTAATAACTCAGGAGGAAAAGCTCACGCTTTTGCGCTTCTGTGGTCGATTTGCTCATCACATCTTGAAAAGCGATTCCATAGGGGCCTGAGCCTTAAACCTGATCTTAATTAAGTAACTTACAGACATCCATCTAAGACAGTTCATTAGTTTGTTCCAGCATCACTGACATGCATAATTTAAATGATTTTTTTTTTTTTTTGGGTGAAATACAACTAACAGAAAAGTTAGCATTTCCAGTCACTTTAAAGTATACCATTAAAAAAAAAAGTATACCATTAGTGACACTGAGTAGGCTTCCCTTGTGGCTCAGTTGGTAAGGAATCTGCCTGCAATGCAGGAGACCCCGGTTTGATTCCTGGGTCAGGAAGATCCACTGGAGAAGGGATAGGCTACCCACTCCACTATCCTGGCCTGGAGAATTCCATGGACTAGTCCATGGGGTCGCAAAGAGTCTGACACGACTGAGCAACTTTCACTTTCAATGACGTTGAGCATTGAGTCCGTTCATGGTGTTGTGCACTCATTACCGGTATAAATGAAGAACTGTTAGGTGTCATTTAGAAAAATAATAGTAGTTCGTGTTCTTTGAAGAAATTTTAGAAAATATGAGTACAGTCTTGCTTTATTTCATCTACAGTTTTTCTACACTCTGCATTTTTACATAATTGGGATGATAATAGTATAATTTTTATATCCTGATTTTTTCTTATCAAAAGTAGAGTTCCGTGTTGTTATAATCTTGTCAACATAGTTTTTAATTGCTGTATCCTGTTCCATCATGGGGCTGCATCTGAGCCGTTTCACGTAGCATTAGCCGTTTCACTGCAACCCTCGCAGCAGTAGCATTTATCCAGCACTTAGATGTCTGTGTCCGCATCACGCCAGGCTCTCTGCTGCACACGCTGTGTGTGTTACCATCTTGTTTGTCCTACCAGCCCTCTGCGGCGGGCAGTAGCATCGCCTCCTCATGGGCGGTGACGCTGAGGCTCAGATAATGAGCCCAAAGGTCCCACACGAGCGGATGAAGGAGCTTCGGGGTGATCCCAGGCAGCCTGTGCTCTGTCCGTGTGCAGCCTGCCTGCGTGAGACCCACACGGGGTCCCGGAGGGAGACTGAGCGTGCTCAGTCAGGAGAGCAGGCTTCCCAGGGTCCCTTGGAGGGGGTCTGGGTCTCAGCTGCAGACCACCCCTGTGTTCTTCCTCTCAGCATGACTGATGGAGCGCAGCAAGCCTTGAGGAGGACCATGGAGATCTACTCCAAGACCACCCGCTTTGCTCTCGCTTGTAACGCGTCGGATAAAATCATAGGTGAGCGTCAGCTCTGCATGGCTCGGGGTCCATGTGGCATTCACGTGGGCTCTTCAGCAGCAGGAGAGGAGGCGTGGTACCAGATGGGGGCGTTTGGAGAGTGGAGACGGCTGAGGTTTGTGGAAGATTTAACGTACGAGGGTCGGAGGTGTACTGTGACCCCAGCGGGTGGCTGAAGGGCCTGCCTGGGCAGGCAGAGACGATGGGTCAGAACATTTTGAGGAGAGCCAGTAGGGCAGCAGAATAGGATGGATCAGAAAGAAGCCCACCGGGGACTTGGAGATCATGGCGTCGCCATTGTCACAGTCTGAACACGATTCAGGGACAGCTCCCAGAATTCCGCGTTCGTCCGCCTGGCGGCTTTCACGTGCGTCCGAGTCTCCCAGGGAAGCTTAAAGAAGCCGGGCAGGTGCCCCGTGCTCACCCCCGACTGGCTGGGTGGTGACCTGCCCAGACGGGCCCACACACACAGTGTACAGGGTGGTTCCGGAGCTCAGCTGGGCTGGCAGTGACCCTCCTGCAGGCTGTGGCGCGTGCATGTCTCTATCCTCGAAGATCTTTTCCCCTTCTGGGAAGGGCCAGCCCAGGCAGTGCAGGCTGGGGCCTTTACTGGTTGATATTTGAAGTCGATCCCTGCTTGCCGAGTTCCCCTTAAGCACGTGCTGCGTGGGGAGAGTGCTGTCCGCCCGGCTGGGCCACAGGCATCGTGCGGCCGCTTCCCAGTAACTAAAGGACCGTCAGCGTCCCGCTGTGCATTGCCGCGGAGCCTGACTCCCTTGCCGTCTGGTCCAGAGCCCATCCAGTCCCGCTGCGCCGTCCTCCGCTACACGAAGCTGACCGACGCCCAGATTCTCGCCAGGCTCCTGAGCGTCATCGAGAAGGAGAGTGTGCAGTACACGGACGACGGCCTGGAAGCCATCATCTTCACCGCCCAGGGCGACATGAGGCAGGTGCGTGCGGCTGCCGCTCCCGCCTCCCGGGCTGGCCACACCCCTCGTTTTACGGGGAGAGGGAGGTGACTGCTGCACTGGGACGAAAATAGACCAGGGGACGTTGACCCAACACACTGTGGGGGGCCTCGGGCCTCGGGGGAGCAGGCCTGCAAGGAAGGGGTTAAACGTGGACTCCGGAGAGGAGAGCGGGGCGGGCAGAGACTCAGTAGTCCCCCTGGCCCTGTTTCTGTTCCTTGGCAGGCTTTGAACAACTTGCAGTCTACTTACTCGGGATTTGGCTTCATCAACAGTGAGAATGTGTTCAAGGTAAGAGCTGGCGTGGCCATCACAGTCACCAGGGCAGCGTTTACCTGCCGGGGCCGGTGGAACCACCCAGCTTTCACTTAGGTAGTGAGAGAAACACTCCAAACCTGGTTCTGCTTGCTGGAGACAATGCAGATAGCACGTGAAGACCTTGGTTACCTAGGATGCTCAGATACGGGTCTGCCAAGGCTCCCCCTTGGATGGGCCCTGTCCACTCCTGACGGGCCTTTCTTTCTGGTTTGGGCAGGTCTGTGACGAGCCCCACCCCTTGCTGGTAAAGGAGATGATCCAGCATTGTGTGAGCGCCGACATCGACGAGGCCTATAAGGTGGGTCTCCTTGCCCTTTCCTGACTCGGGAAACCTCTGGCTCCTTGAGAAGAGCAGAGGGGAGAGGGGATGCCCCCTGGGCTGGGCACTTTACTCCATCTCATTTTTAACTGATGCTAGGAGTTGGGTATCCTCTAACTGATGCTAAGATTTGGGTACCCTCTACAGGTGAGAAAACTGGCTCAGAAGCTAGACACCTTATTGTAAATCACATAGCTTAAAAGTAATCAACCTGGAATTCAGCATCATGCCTTTCTACTCTAATTAGATTCTCTATAAGAGGAATTTGTCCACCAAGGATATGAGGAAAGAACAGCCCAACTCCTCGCCTATTTTTTTTTTTAATGTTTATTTATTTGACTGTGTTGGGTCTTAGTTGTGACATGCAGGCTTAGTTGCTCCGAGGTACGTGGGATCTTAGTTCCCCGACCAACTGTTGAACCCGCATTCCCTGCACTGCAAGGCGGATTCTTACCACTGGACCACCAGGGAAGTCCCCCACTCCTTGCTCTGTAGAGAAGCCAACTTCCTCTCTGTGGAGGGGAGCTGTGCCCCCCCTATCTTCTGAAGAGCCTGGGAATGGAATTCAGGGACCCAGAGCCTGGTCCTGTGAGCCGATTCCAGGGGTGTCATTGAGGTTCAGATGGCCCTCCAGTCCACCTGGGGGCAGTGCTGGGATCTGAGGCCATTGGTCTGATTGCAGCCAGTTTCCTTCTTCCTACTGCCACCAAACTAAGCTAGAAATTGACTGGATTTAGGGCAGGGCTAGACCTCGGTGGTCAAAAGTTCACCTGCCAATGCAGGAGACGTGGGTTCGATCCCTGGACCTGGAAGATCCCCTGGAGGAGGAAATGGCAACCCACTCCAGCATTCTTGCCTGGAGAATGCCCATGGACAGAGGAGCCTGGCGGGCTACAGCCCGTGGGGTCACAAAGAGTTGGACATGACTGACTGAGCACACACGCACACAGACCTCTCGTGAAATGAGCACGAGGCCGGGAGACTGAGGCAGACTCCCAGGCACACAGTCAGGAGGGAGCCGTCAGATTTATAGACATGGAGCTTCCCCAACCCTGAATGCACCCCAGGGAGCCAAGGCAACTGACTCCAGGCCCTGCAGCTGGGTGGGGTGGGGTGGGGGTTGGAACTGGGGCCTGTGGCTGAGAAGGCAGGAGGCTGCGACCTCTGTGGTCATCTCTGCCCGGGTCAGGATGTGTTCAGGCCTAACTGTGCCGTGAGTGTGTGTCACAAGTGACAACTCAGCACAGCAGTCACTCCAGGGTGCTTGCTGGGATGATTAATAAGGCATTTTAAGAGCCTTGGAGGGAGGGGACATATGTATACCGGTGGCTGATCCTCATTGTTGTATGGCAGAAACCAACAACACTGTAAAGCAATTGTCCTCCAATTTAAAAAATAGTAACACAAGGAAAGGAAAAAATAAAAGAGCCTTGGATTAAGACGTTACAGGGCACGGTGGTGGACCTGTCTTGCAGTAGGGTTTAAAACATTTGCAGTATTCTCTTTGCCTGCTGGGAACATGGATTACCCTCCCCACCCCCCACCCCCGCTGTAAGACCTAAAGGGCATGGACCTCCAGCCGGGTTGCCCCGTCGGTCTGATTCTCAGAAGCACCTGTGCTGTCTTGGATGGTCTGTCCATGCCCAGCCGTGTTGACGGGCCAGCGCTGGTTTGGGTTTAGCTGCACCCCGTCCCCCGCAACGTACCCTTGTCGTCTGCAGTTACACGGCCTCCACGTGGTTTCTTTTGTCCAGATCCTTGCTCACCTGTGGCATCTTGGCTATTCCCCAGAAGACATCATAAGCAACATTTTTCGAGTGTGTAAAACCTTCCAGATGGCAGAATACTTGAAACTGGAGTTTATCAAGGTCAGTGAGAGCAGAGCAGTGCCTCTCCCACGCTGTAAGACCTAAAGGGCATGGACCTCCAGCCGGGTTGCCCCGTCGGTCTGATTCTCAGAAGCACCTGTGCTGTCTTGGATGGTCTGTCCACGCCCAGCCGTGTTGACGGGCCAGCCCTGGTTTGGGTTTAGCTGCACCCCGTCCCCCGCAACGTACCCTTGTCGTCTGCAGTTACACGACCTCCACGTGGTTTCTTTTGTCCAGATCCTTGCTCACCTGTGGCATCTTGGCTATTCCCCAGAAGACATCATCAGCAACATTTTTCGAGTGTGTAAAACCTTCCAGATGGCAGAATACTTGAAACTGGAGTTTATCAAGGTCAGTGAGAGCAGAGCAGTGCCTCTCCCCGCAAGCATGTGGGCCACGCTGAGGTTTTGTTTCACTCACAGGCCAGGCGCCTGGAAGATGCTCAGTCAATGAGAGGTCATCCCGGGGGCTAGAGGCTTGTTTACGCCAGTCCTGCCAGGCAGTGACCTAATGTTCCCTGGGATGGCTGTGTTCATGAGAGAGATATTTATTTACTTGTCATGTAAGTGACATGTAATTTAAATAAGAGTAAAATTCAACCTCTTGGGTGCATTCTGTTGACAAATGCAGTCTGGCTTTTTTTTTTTTTTTTTTTTTTTTTTTTTTTTTATTTTTTCATTTTCTTAGCAGTACCCATCAAAGAGATTCCCAGGTGGCTCAGTAGTAAAGAATCTGTCTGTCAATGCAGGAGACACAGATTTATCCCCGGTAGGGAAGATCTCCTGGAGGAGTAAATGGCAGCCCATTCCAGTACTCTTGCCTGGATAATCCCATGGACAGAGGAGCCTGGCAGGCCACAGTCCATAGGGTTACAAAGAGTCAGATATGACTGAGCAACTGAGCACGCATGCACCCATTAAAGAACTATCAGTATTCTTTTAGGAAACAAGATGAACTTCTCAGAGCTCATTTTCCAGCTGGAGTTTGAGTTCCCTGCATCAATTTTGAGCAAACCTTTGATTCAGATGTTCAGGTTTTAAAAATTAAAACTCTTCCCTCAGTTATTAACCAGATTTAAGTTGGATTTTTGTTTCCCCCCAGGAAATTGGATACACACATATGAAAATAGCAGAAGGTGTGAACTCCCTTCTGCAGATGGCAGGGCTCCTGGCCAGGCTGTGTCAGAAGACAATGGCCCCAGTGGCCAGTTAGAGCAGAAGCCTCTCTTGCTGGGTTACGAGAGTCCTTATTGCTGAGTCACAGCCTTTGGTTCGGAAAAAGTGATGCCCTGGGCCGACCCTGGAGCGCATCTTCCTGGTCTTCACCTTGCTTCCAGCACATCTCCCCTGCTCCTGGAGTATTCACACTCAGCCTCAGACTCACGATGTGGTGAGAGGGTGGGAAGGGACCCTCTAGGACACGGCCCCCGGTCTGTGCTTGTGTTGGCATTTTACTAATAAAACCTTACAGTTTTGTGGCAGAAAGGTGGCAGTGCCAGGCCACAAGGAAAACCAGCTTCCTGTCTCTGTGTACACCCCTAGCGTCCTGCAGGGAGAGGGGTGGTTTTGATAATAGACTGGACAGGATAATCTCAGTTTTTCTAGAAGCCATAAGGACAATCCCACAGGGTGAGCCTGGGTTTGCTATAATTTCCCAGCCTCTCAGAGCAGCCCAGGGCCCTGAGTCCTTCAGAAAGGGCTTGGCAAGAATCACCGAGGAGCGCTTCCCTGGCGGTCCAGTGGTGGAGACTTTGCACTTCTACTGCAGGGGGCACAGGTTCGATCCCTGATCGGGGAACTAAGATCCAGCATGCTTTGAGGGGCAGCCAGAAAAATTTTAAAAATAAATAAACATACATTTTTTTAAAAAAAAGTCAAAGAGGAGGATAGTGCAGATAGATGCAGAGGAACTTCCCTCCAGGTCACCTTTTCTGTGTAGCTGGGTGTATCTGTTGCTTTAGAATTTCCCAGTGATTTTTGTAGAATTGCTTTTTTGTTTGTTTATTGGCAAAAAGCTATTTTTCCCCATGTTTAAAAATTATGGAAAATAATCATTGTAGATAATACAGAGAATGATATGGTGAACTTTCACATAACTCATCTTAACAATTTTACCAACACGTTCCCGTCTTGTTCTTTCTGTATTCCCACCCAGCAGCCCTACCACCCCACTCCCAGGTTGTTCTGAAGCAAATCCCTGGGTGGGGTTAGACATGTGTCGAGACCATGTTGCTGAACCGTCACAGGAAAGTCTCCAAGGTCACTCACTGGCTCTTTGGGTTAGGGTTTTGATTATGAGGAGGAAAAAAAAATTAAGGTCCTCAAAAACTGCAAGCAGAAATTTTACAAAATACTTCCGCACATCTTCTCAATCTTACTTATTCATTATTATGAATTTTTTGGCTGCACCACGTGGCTTGCAAGATCTTAGTTCCCTGACCAAGGGTCGAACCCGGGCCCCTGCAAGGAAACACTGACCATGAGAGAACTGCCTGCCTCAGTCTTTTTGTCTGGAGCTTTGGGATCCTTGGGAAGCAAAGGGATACCTGCGCCCATTTTTTTAAGTGACACCCCAGCTTCCCACACTCCCACCCCCCGCTGGAGCCTCAGTGCAGCCCCGTCACACCTGTGCTCAGGCCTAAGCTGTCCTCCCCGCAGGTGAGGCCGGGCTGCAGGGCGTGAAGGGGCTGCCAACAGCTGTGTTCCAGATGTTTTTTCCTCTAATTTCCTAACTTGCAGCATTGACTTCTCATGGAAAGAACTGATGAGACATCTGGAAAGAGGTTCCTGTTCCCAGCCTCCTCTCCAGATCTGGGAGTTTTGGGGCTGTTTTAAGGATTTGGCTGCACCAGGTTGCAGCATGCCGGATCATCCATCTTTGTTGTGACAGCATGCAGGATCTTTAGCTGCGACTTGTGAACTCTTAGTTGCAGCCTGGAGGAGCTTTGACGGCAGGGATGGAACCCAGGCTCCCTGCATTGGGAGCAGAGTCTCAGCCGCTGGACCACCAGGGAAGTCCCGTTCTATGAAACAAGTCTGACCATCTCCCTAGAAGGTTCTAGTGAGGCGGAGAAAGCAGACAGGAGAATCACTGCTTTTAAACTGGAAATGTTTATTGAGACGTTTCGGTCGGAGGAGGCTTTGTCTCCCTGATTCTGGCTTTTCTGAGGCAGAGGGTCCCACAGACTCCCGTCTGTCCCATGAGACAGTCGTGTCCCTGCCCCGTTGGCCGGGGCCCCAGGCTACTCCTCCCCGCCTGCCCCTTCCGCAGTCTGCCCGCAGCGGACGCTCCCGCCAGAGGCTCGCAAAGTTAGCTGCGGCTTCATCTCTGCTTCAGTCACCCGAGGCCCAGAGAAAGGAGCGCCGGGGCACCCCCAACTGTTGAATTACACGTAATGCTTACAGGAGACAATTTATTACACAACCTCTACCCTGAAACGCAAAATATTAAATACGACTCCACCTGCATAAATTAACTGTACAAGCTTATCCATCACGAAATCCCAGCAACCAATGTTAGTAAGCAATTTGGGATCAAAACCAAAAAAAAAAAAAAAAAAAAAAAAGGACACGAACACCCATGTAGTATGATGTTTTCAATGCGGGTAGAGGGGATGCGGCTGCCCTCAGTTCTGGTCACGGGACCACCGCCAGAGCCTCCCGACCCCGGGCTCCTCCTGCCTTGCCTGTGGGAGCCGGTCAGAGGTTGGCTCCACATAACTGTCCTTTCCCGGGCTGGGTGCCCCGTGGCCAGCCGGCTGGTCCTCAGGACACGTTGATGCCCCTCCCAGGAGTAGCGGTAGGGAGTGTAGAAGTTGAGCGGCTCTGGAGAAGGGATCCTGGGGAGGCGATAAATGGTTCCCTGGCTCCTTCAATGAAGAGCAAAGGTATTTGTTAAAGAGGGAAAGGTTTGCCTGGCCTGATGCTTTGTGCCCTCGGCCCCGGGAGGATACACAGCGATGGTCAGTGAGCAGAGAACCTGCCCATCAAATGAGCATGTTTCTTATTTCAGGAGCCAGGAGCTTCTGCCTCTTTTTTTTTTTTAGGCTGGGGATCTTTTTTTTGAAAGGCTGGGGATCTTAGTTCCCCAGTCAGAGATTAAACCCCCATGGAAGCTCGGAGTCCGAACCACTGGACCACCAGGGAAGTGCCTGCTTTCTGTTTGAATTCCTGGTACCAGGGGTACCAGGCCCTAACTCCACTCTCCAGCCTTGCCTGGCGGCCCTTCCACCTTGAACATCGGGATTAGGCCTCTCCAGCCTTGTCGGGCCACTCTGGACACCAGCTTGTGGCGTTCAGACCTTCTTGTGTGCGAGGTCGAGGGTGTAAATTCCAGCCAGCCGTAGCCCGACTCCAAACTTGAAGCTCCCCGTATCATTTGTCAGACAACGTACTCTAATTTCTTTCCTCTTAGGAACCTGCACAGCCTCTCTCCTCCTGCCCTCTCCCTGAATCCAGACGCAGGTCTCTTAACTCCTCACTTTGTACAACCTCCTGCAACCTTCCTACACCTCCGCCAACTTAGCAGGCCCAGACATACACCAGCCTTCCCCACAAAACCCGCGCTGCCTGTCGCCTCCCTGACCTCAGATGCTGAGAGTGATGCCCTCGCCTTTGACTCAGGAAAACCCCCCAGGCCTCCTCAATCCTCGCTTCACCTGGCCGCTGACACGTGGCGCATCAGGAAGCCCCTCCAGCTCCACAAGCAGGGTCTGCCTCCACTGCGGCCTCCCGGCTTCCTGCCCGAGCACACTGGCGTCCCTGCCTCCCCTGTCCCCTGTATTTATGGCAGTGATACCTGAGAAACATTAAGTCACTCTTCCCCTGCCGAGCACATCCCCCATCTCAGAAAAAACCCAGCTGCTGGCCCTGTCCTCCACCTCTGCCACTCCCCCATTGCTCTGTTCTGTTCCCCTCCTGTTTTTGGACTCAGGCTCCGGTCGGGGTCCTTCCCTCCCCCAGAAGGATGAGGAGGGGTGCTCTGAAAGACTTTTCTGCTTCCCAGCTTAAATGACGGCACCCCCCCCCCATGTTCCTCCTGCCTCTCCCCACCCCTAGCATCCACTGCTCAATTTCCTTTCTCCCCGCCCCTCTCCTCCCTTCCCTTGTCTCGCCTCTCCTCTTCCAGCTAGTTCTCTGGTTTCCTCTCTCCCACCAGAATGGAAATCCTAAGTGGACAGGGATTTGTGTATCTTCTCTTTACCACTGTGTCCCCTGCCCCTAAGGCAGGACTTGCCCCGGCAGGTGCCCCCTAGGTGCTGAGTGAATGAATGAACCGTGGGCTCTGCCCTTCGGGCTTAAACTCCTGTGGCTGATCCTATTGCTGGTTTCTCAAACAGCCCAGGCGTGCCCCCAGTGACAGGCTTGCCCGTGTCCCCCAGATCGGGACTTCAGGCAGCCTTTCCAGGGCCCTCGGGTCGACTCCCTCCCTCCCAGAGACAGGGCCTGGGCTCCTACATCTCCGCGCTTGTGTGTCCATCCCCTCCTCCACACACTCTAGGTGGGGGCCTCGGCTCTCCTTGGGGGGTGCCAAGCGATGGTGTGTGAGCACTTGGCACCATCACCGGCCCCCCATCCCGCCCCATCCCTGAGTCCAACATGGGCAAGTCATCCTGGTCCTGCTTTTTTTTTTTTGTGGCTACACCACATGGCATGCAGGATCTTAGTTCCTCAACCAGGGATCAAACCCATGCTCTTTGCAGCGGAAGCACGGAGTCCTAACCACCAGACTGCCTGGGAAGTCCCTGGCCCTGCTTTCTGTGCGGGTGTTGTGTGTCCCATCTAAGATGCAGGTCCCAGTAGCTCCACGTTGCAAGCGAGGAAATGGGTCACGGGAGGTTAAATCACCCTCCAAGTTTGCAGAGGCCCACCCAGACTCACTAGCCTGCCCTGCCTAACACCCGCAGGGCTGAGACTTTGTGTCCGCTGTAAATATGTCACCTCACCATGCCAGCCACAAGAGTTGCGGGTGGGCAGGGACTTGTCGGGAGGTCCAGCGCCCCAAGAAGCCACCCCGTTTCAGCACCCATTGGTGCTGTCCATGGCCCCCGCTGTGGCTCCTCCAGCCCTGGCTCTCTGCTTTTCCCAGGGGATGTGGTCCCCCCACCCCTGTGCGGCCCACCAGACTGGACTGTACCTTCCTCCGGGTCTTCCCTAGGCTTCGGTGGCTGCCACGTCCCCGTTCACATAGTCGGGCTCCCCGTCCTCGTCTGGGCTTCCTGCCAGGGAAAGCGGTGCTTCCCGCAGGGCTGACTCTGCGGATCCACGAGCAGATTGTCAGAGGGTTCACATGGACATGCTCAGCCCAGCCCTGTCTCCGCAGGAGGTTCCACGCAGCCCACGGGAAAGGCACACTGGGTGGTGTGTCCGTCCCTTCCCCTCTGCGATCTGCCAGCGGTCTGTCCTGCCCGGAGCAGGGCAGGTGCAATTCCATCCAAGCCACTGGATGGGCAGTGGGCCAGGAGGACCCGACCTCAGAGGCCACGGTGCTCCCGAAGGAGGTCCTGCCACGGTCAAGCTGCTGCAGTCACTGATGCACCAGAAGCTTCGCTGTGGGATCAGCTCAACAGGCCTTGGGGGAGCCCACCTGGCCTCGTCCTCCCAGATCCCCTAAGCATCCGTCTCTGCCCCTCCCCCTGACTGTGTCCCAGGCTAGGGCGCCGCCCCACCCCGCCAAATGCAAGCCAGCTGAAGGCAACCATTCGGGAATGCCTGGGCTCCAGCCACATACCCACGACTCTCTTGGACTCCCGCCACTGCTGGATGGACGCCGAGTTCTGATAATCCTCAGACCCCTCGTCCCCTGCAGGGAGAGCACCCGGACAGGGGCTGGGGAAGGGGCAGCCACCGCGGCCATTCCTCAGGCCAGCGAGGTGCCGTGGCCGCCCCTCTAGGGGGGCAGCCTGCATCCTTCACGTGTTTGGCAGACCCTCGAGGGAGGGAGGGAGATCCAGGGACTGACAGGGCCTCCTCCCGGGACACAAGGTCTAGTACTGGTGAACCCTGCAGCGGGGGCTCCAGACCCCAGCAGTGCAACCTTACCTGATTCCACTCTCTTTGGCTTGCAGATGAGCACGTTCTCATAGGAATTGGTGTCATCGTCATCTGCCAGGGAAAGGGGAGAGGGTGGGGGCTGCTGGTGGGTCCTGCCCGACAAGCCTGGCTCTTCCTCCCTCCCTCTGTCTCATCAAGCCCTCTCTGGGTCCCACAGGGCCTTGAACATTCTCCTGGACAAGCTTCTTAATGGGCAAAGGCCTGTCTCCAGTGGCTTCCACCCTGGGCTCCTTTTATCTTTCAAAGCTCCCCTTAAATGCTCTGGGGAGGGGCAGGCCCACCATGGATAGTTAAGAGAAGGGAGACCCATCTCTATGTGGGCAAAGAGGGGCAGGCAGAGCCACTGGGGGCGCAGGAGACAGGAACCTGCCTAACCCTTCAGGCAGTGGGGCAGACTGAGGATCCTCTGCTGGGGGGCCTAGGCTGGGTGTGGCATATCAGAGCCTGGTACCCTGGCTTTGCACCCCATCCCCACCCCCCAACGAGGAAGCTAAGCTGTAAACACCACCCTGTCCAGCTTCCATCTTTGTTGGAGAGGCTCTGAGAAGTGAGGGCTTTCCCCCAATATAGTAGCGCAGGGGGTGAGAAGAAGACCCTCACTCCCACTCCAGCTCGGCCTAGGCAGGGGGCCCAGGCCTGTGCCCCCTTCAGCAGGCACTGCCCACCCTCTTGTTCTGTAAAGCCAAGGTGTTAAAAGCCCAGGGTTCCAGCACCCCCAGGGCTGGCAGGGCTTGGCATCCTTCAAGCAAGTCTGCCACTTCCAGGGCCTTCCTCCAAGGACCCATGTATGCCCAGCCTTGAGGGGGGCCCTGAACGACAAGGGGACCAGCCTGCCCCTGGTCCCTGCCCTCAGCTCCCCTTCTGCTCCCGGACTCCTGCTCCCTCCCATCCCTGCCCTCCTCTGCATCTCAGCTCCTGCCTGCAGTGCCAGCCTCTTCAGTCCTCCTAGGTCCTCCTCAGTCCTCCTTAGTCCTCCCGGGTCCTCCCCCAGTCCTCCCCATCCTCCCAGGTCCTCCTAGATCCTCCCCATCCTCCTCGGCCCTCCGCGATCCTCCCGGGTCCTCCCAGATCCTCGGTCTTCCCAGACCCTCCCAGATCCTCCTCCGTCCTCCCCCAGTCCTTCTCGGACCTACTAGGTCCTCCTAGGTTCTCTCCGTCCTCCCGGCCCTCCCCGGTCCTCCGACGGTCCTCCCAGGTCCTCCTCGTCCTCCCCTGCCCACCCCCCATGGCTTCTGAAGCTGCTCTGCCCTCGCCGTCTCCTCTGCCTCACCTTCCGCGGGCTTCTGGAACGGATCGTAATTGTAATAGTCCGTGGAGGTGGGGTCTCTGACAAGAAAACACAGACACAGCACCAGCTGCGGGGCAGGCCCGTGGTGCAGGGCGGGGGCTTCACGTAGGGGGCGGTGAGACCACGGCCGCCCCAGCCGTCGTCACTCCCCCGGAGCCCGTGGGGGGCTCTGCCAGGGTCTCACCCCTGAGCCACCCTGGGGCTGAGAGCGTGGTGGCCTGGCTCCAGCCACCGCACCCGGTGACTTCAGGCAAGTCGCCACCCGCCCCGGAACCTCAGTTTGCCCAAAAGAGAGTCCAGGAGGAGACGTCCTGGGTGCCCTTCCTCTCGAGGGTCTGCAGACGCGGGGTGAGCCCCGCCCACCCCAGACGGCCACGCCCACCCAGACGGTCCCGCCCCCGAGCAGGGCTTCGTCTCTGCCCCGGCCTCATCCCCAAGAAGCCACGGTCCTCTGAGGGGGCGCGGTGCTGCGGGAGCCTGCCCGGGCCCGCGGGTTTCCAGGGCAGGAGGCCATTCTCAAGGAAGGAAGCTGAGGGCGGGGGCGGGACGGAGGTGGCCAGGGCCCGCAGAAGGCCGCTCACATGTAGGCTTCCTCTGATCTGGGTCTGCTTCCTGCGGGAGGGGGCGAAAATTAAGCCGTGGTAGGGGCTGTGGGCCCGCACCACAACCCCCTCCTGCCCAGAACCCACCTACCTTTGCTGAAGTACTGGTACCTGGGGGATGAAGAATCTGGAAGAAAGTCCAGGCCCATTGGCTCAATGCTGGTTCCCCACCCCAGGCCCCTCCAGGTGTTTCCCAGTCTTCACACCTTCACATCTGCTCTGTCCCCTCGCCCCACTGGGCCAGCCATTAGGCCTCCCAGCAGCCCAGCTTGCATGTCTCTCCTCTGGGAAGGCCTCATGCTTACTACCTGTTCCATCAGGTATTCACCTGTCCCACCAGGTATTCGCCTGTCTCCGTCCCACCTTGCCCCAGCCCCCACCCCTATGTCCCAGGCCACTCACCCTCGAGGCTGGGGGAGAACCGCAACAGCTTGTCCTTCCTGCATGGGAGGGGGGGCGGGGCTGAGAAGGGGCTGGGAGGAGGCCCCCTGGGTTCCTGGGGGTCTGGAGCCCACAGCCTTCCCTGGTGGGGCCCTCAGAATCAGAACTGGGGCTCTGAGGTCTGAGGAAGGAGCAGGATCTTGGCCTGGGCTCCTCCAGGTGGGGACCCCCCAGGGCCCTCCTCATTACCTCCCTTGGGTCTGGGTTTGGGGGCTCATTCCTACCTTGTCAACTCCATGTTGGAGGCTGTGTCCCCGGGCCAGGCCTCCCTGACCACTGCAAAGGATGAGGGGGTGTTGGCTGGGACCCAGACCAGCTGGTCGGTAAAGTCCCTTCACCCTATCACCCCGCCCGATCAGGCCTGGCCACAGCCTCAGAACAATGAGGACAAAAGGGACTTTGAGGCTGACACCCCCAACCCTGAGCCCAGCCTGGGACCCGTCTGCCAGGGGACTCACAGGTGTAGGTCCGGGCCACTGCAAAGCTCTGCTGATTCTCTTGCCTGGAAACACAGAGCTGCGCTGAGTCAGGGCCTGGCCTCCCACAGCCCCAGGGACAGAGAGGGCAGAGGGACAGGGAGGGACGGACCACGGCGAGAGTGAGGGGGTGCTGCCAGCCCTCCAGGACTCAAATCTGGGGCTTCCTGATGTGTTCCTCGTCTATACAGCTCCCCCACCTGCCCACCAGGTGCCCACCCTTCTCACACAGGCCTGGGCTGGAGCCAGCCAGACACATAGACGGTCAGGAGGGCCTGTGGCAGGGCTGGGAGAGCTGCTCAGGGACCTGGTGGTGACTTCAACCAGGAGCAGCAAAGAGGCTGCCCCCACAACCTACCACCCCAGGAATGTTTAAGTTTCCTTTGAGAGCATGGCCTGCTGGAGATGTTCAAACATGCCATTTATTCCCCAGTAACTGATGAGGCAACTTCAGGGCTTAGCAAACACAGCTAGGCATCTAACTATCACTTTCTTCCTTTCAGACAGAACCTGATTTGTATTTAGACAGTAACATGCCCATCTATATGACTCTATTTACCAATAAATGAATGATATCAAACTAAAAACCTTCTGCTCAGCCAAGGAAGTCATCGACGAAACCAAAAGACCATCTACTGACCAGGAGAAGCTATTTGCAAATGATATATCTGATAAGAGGTTAATGTCCCTTATAATATAATATATAAACAACTCATAACTCAACAACCAAAGAACAAACTGATTAACAAAATGGGCAGAGGAACTGAATAGACATTTTCTAAAGAAGACTTATAAATGGCCAACAGATATGAAAAGATGTTCAACATCACTAATTATGAGGGAAATAAATGCAAATCAAAACCATGGTGAAGTTTCACCTTAGACCTGTTAGAGCAACAATATTATCAAAAAGGCAAGAAATAAAAAGTGTTGGTAAGGATGTGTATGAAAGGAAACCCTTGTGTGCTATTGGGGGAATATAAATTAGTGTAATCACTATAAATTCAATATGGAGATGCCCCAAAATACTAAGGATAAAACTACCATATAATCCAGCAATTCCACTTCTGGGTATTTATCTAAAGAATATGAAATAACTAATTTGAAAAGCTATATATAGTGCTGCAGGAGACTCTTGAGAGTCCCTTGAACAGCAAAGAGATCAAACCAGTCAATCCTACAGGAAATCAACCCTGAATACTCATTGGAAGGACTATGCTGAAGCACCAATACTCTGGCCACCTGATGCTAACAGTTGACTCACTGGAAAACCCCCTGATGCTGGGAAAGATTGAGGGCAAAAGGAGAAGGGGGAAGCACAAGATGAGATGGTTGGATGGCATCACCGACTCAATGGACTTGAATTTGAGCAAACTCTGTGAAGGACAGAGGAGCCTGGCATGCTGCAGTCCATGGGGTTGCAGAGTCTGACACAACTTAGCAACTGAACAACAAAAACAAAATATGTGCCCTATGTTTGTTACAGCGCTATTTATGATGGCCAATACATGGCTATCATGTAAACATGTATCATGGAAACAATCTAAGTGTCCATCAACAGAGAGATGAATGAGTAAAGAGGATGTGGTATATATACACAATGGAATACTATTTACCCATAAAAAGATAAAATCTTGCTATTTGCGACAATGTGGTTGGACCTTGAGGGTATCATGCTAAGTGAAAAAAGTTAGAGAAGGAAAAATTCCGTATGATTTCACTCATATGTGAAATATAAAAAACAAAATAAATGAACAAACCAAACAAAAACTAACTTGTAGATACAGAGAGAAGAGTAGTGTTTACCAAAGTTGAGCGGGCAAAATGGGTAAAGGGGATGAACTGTGTGATGACAGGTGGAAACTAAATGTTTGTTGGTAAGCTTGACATAAGGTATACAGAAATAGAAATAAAATATTCTACATGTGAAACCTAAATAATGTTCTAAACCAATGTCACTTCAATTGTTTTTTTAAAAAGACTATTTCCCAGCCTCCCTTGCACCTAAATGTGACCATGTAATTAGACTCTGGTTAATGAAATGCAAGCTTTCAGGAAAGCGCCTTAAAGGAGGCACTGCCAGCTGGGATGCACCCTTTTTGTCTTCCTTCTTCATTCTTACTGCTGCATGGAATGCAGAGATGAGGGCTGGAGCTTGAGCTGCCATTTTGGCCTGTGAAGTGCCTTTGGGAATTAATGCCACCACTAAGCATAGTGGAGCAGATTAGCTAATTATAAAAGCCTTTTCGGTTTCTTCCATGGACCCGAATGGCGAGCTGGTCCAGTCTTTCAGGAGCTCCTGAGGGGTGAAAGTGATCTTATTTAGGAGCAAGGACCTAAATCCATAGAAGAGAGTCTGGCATGGCTTCTCAGAGGAAATGATGCAGGAGCTGGGCCTGGCACAGGCTGGTAGGACTGAACCCAAGTGCACTGGGGAGAGCCCAAGTCTCCTCTCTGATCTCCTCCCACTCAGGCCTCTTTCCCCACCTCCCACATGGGGAGGTTTAACTTGTGCCTCTGAGGATCTTCAGTTCTAAGATTAATCAGGGGCCTGGAGTGAGCAGGGATTAAGGGAGGAGGGGAGAAGGGAGATATTGAGGAACTTGCCTTGGGGCGGGGGTGTGGGCAGTGGGGAGGGCACCAGGGGAGTCCAGTCCACCCCCCCAGTGGAGGTTGTGGGCTGGCGAGCCAGAGGACCAAGGGACCCCAAAAGGCTGGAAAGGTCCAGCCCCAGCCCCAGGAGCGGGCATCGATGGGAAAATTCTATTTTCAAATCTCACTGTGGTTTTTCAGTTGCAAAAGGAAATGAGAAGAGGGTGTGTGAGCGAGTTTGTATGTGAGTGCCTGCCCAGGCGTGCAAGCAGGCCCTGTGTGTGTGTGAGAAGTGCATGCATGAATGAGTGCTGGGGGAGCCAGTGGGTGTGCGTGGGCGTGCAGGCCTGTGCACGTGTGTGCACGCAGGTCTCGGAGCGCTCCACCAGCACACTGCTGGCCACAGCCCTTCTGCCGGGGTCTTGACACTCTGGGGTCGGTGACAGCATTTCTTCTCCCCTGACCACTGCCCTGCTTCCAGCTCTCCTGTGACTTCCCTTGGCCCTTAGGACAAAGGCCAAGGCCTCTGGCACAGTCAAGACTCTCCTTCCTCCAAATTCAGCTCACTACTCTCATGTTCACTCTGGCCGCATCAACCCCAAGATGGTGTCCACCCCGGCCTTAAGTCAGTGACTGCCCACACTGCTCCCTCTCTCTCTGGAATGTCCCCCTTTCCCCTTCTGTCTCTCTTCAGATTCTTCCCGCCTCCTCCAGGAGGCCTTCCCTGATCCCCCAAGTTTCATGCCCACATCCTGTCTCAGACCCAGCACCTGGTCCCTGGTCCCTGTCCCTGCAACGGGAGGGTGGGATTCCTCCGTCAACCCCCAACAGCAGAGCCTAGACCCCACCAGGCTGGGGTCACGGCGGGGATTTCTGGAGATGCTCCTGGGCTCACTGGAGCGTGCTCCCCACCCTCCCCGACTAGTCTGGGGTAGGGTTTGGGCGGTCCCTGGGCACCCTCTCACCCTCCCCTAAGTGCTGAGGACCCACTGGAGCCCAGCATGGAGGAGGGGAGAGTGAAGGGGTGAGGGGTGGGGGTGGGGATGCCCGAGGGGATGCCCACAGGGACGGCCCCCGCCCAGGCAGGACACACAACATCACCAGGCTGGGGAGACACTCACAGACTCCTCTGCTCATAGATTTTCTCAGACTTCTTTGCACCTGCAAGAGCAGGACGCCTGCCGGGGCCAGGTGGGAGCTAAGATCTGAGGCCCAACCATCTCCCCTGTTGCCCTGGGCAGGCCTCAGACCGGACGTGGGGGCTGGGCCACTCTTCACCGGGGAGCCACCTGACCCTGGCGAGGTTTGCTCACCATTTATTTAGGAGAGCAGAACGTGAAGGCAGACATTGCAGGCAGCCCAGCCCCCTCTCCCCTCCCTTGTCCAGTGCAATCCATGCGCAGACAGATGCCTTTGACCCCGGAGAACCAACACTCCCATTAAGTCAGACCCGTGGTCTTCAGAGAACGATCAGGAGCCAGGCCCCTGGGTTTCACTTCTGCGCCCCCAGGCTTATCTGTCCGAGCAGCCGGGTCTGGGCCTGAGGGGCTCTCAGGGGACACTGCCCACTCCTCCCACAAGCCCACGACCCCCAGGCTTTACCTGGGCGGGAGCAGCGCACGCACAGGCCGGCCGCTGCCCCCAGCAGCAGCAGCAGAGCCGCCCCCGGCCACAGCAGCTCTGTGTCTGCGCTCATGTCCACTCCGGGCCGCTCTTCTTCCTGCAGGGCTGCGACAGGGGGCACTGTGAGCCAGGGTGGGGGCCACAGGGACCCCCCCCCGCAGGAACCCTCCCTTCATTGTCCCCTGACAGCCCAGCGTCCCCTACCCTCCCTGCTCTGGGGCCAGACGGGGACAGAACCAGCCCTGTCCACTCATCTGACCCCAGACCCGTGCCTTGGGACCCCCAGGGCCATCATCAAGTGCTGGAAGGTTCTGGAAACCTGCCTGTAAGCACACACTCCCACGCACACCTTCGCTTAGTCCACCCAGCCACCCCTCGAGGGAGAGGCTCACGCCGTTTCACAAATAGAGAAACAGAAGCCCCAAATTCCACAGCTGCAAAGGGGAAAGGCAGGATTTGAACGCCAGGCTCCAGACCCTAGGGGCTTCCCAGGAGGTGCTAGTGGTAAAGAAAACCTGCCTGCCGATGCAGGAGGCTTAAGAGATCTGGGTTCGATCGCTGGGTCAGGAAGATCCCCTGGAGGAAGGCATGGCAACCCACTCCAGGATTCTTGCCTGGAGAATCCCATGGACAGAGGAGCCTGGAGGGCTGCAGTTCACACAGTTTCGCAAGGAGCTGGACATGACTGAAGTGCCCTAGCACGCATGCCCACGTTCCAGACGCTAATGCTGGTTCTGCTCTTTCATCCTGTGAAGAAACCTCCTGCGAACCCAGCTTTGTTCCCCAAGCTCAGAGTCCAATACCCCTTCTACACCGGAGCCCCCATCCACCCTAGGGTGATTCTCTGCTCCCACCCAAGGCCGCCCAGGGAAGCTGGAGGTGCAATTTCCATTCCTAAAATGCCTGTCTATCCAGATGCTCTGGCTCCTCCTGTCCTGGGAGCTGGGAGGAGGGAGGTCAGGGAGGCTTCTTGGAGAAGGTGGGCCTGAGACCAGGACGGGGAGAAGGATGCCTGGGCAGAGAGGGACTTTGGCGGCCGGTGGAGGAAATGTGCTGGGAGGTGGTGTCAAGAGGCCGCTCTGTGGTCAGTGGCCAGTCCCAGCCTCGGGGCCTCAGCGAAGCCGCCAGCAGCCACCTTGCAAGGCCTGCTGAGTGCAAGTTCAGCCCTCTTGAGGGGCCCTCCAGGGAGATTTTTTGCAACTCTAAAGAGACTCAGCCCCCTCGCAAAGGCCAGTGACAGAGGGCAGCAGGGGTCCTGTGGGGCCTGTGCCCCACGGTGGGCACGTGGAGCCCACGCTACGGAGCATCCCTTCTGTGAACACCAGTACCTCTGGCCTCGGCCACCTGGGAGGAGGCTTCTCCCCGCTTCACAGCTGCGGGAGGCGAGGCTGAGGGAGACCCAAGCTTTGTGCGGGCCTGCCTCCTCTTTCCGGCTCCCCCAGAGGCCTGCACCACACCCCGCGGCCCTGCTCACCACCCCGAGCTTCCCGAATCCCCATTTCAAAGATGACAGGGAATCTCCGTGTTGGGCCCAGCCTCTGTCAGCGGCCCGTCATGCAGAAGTCATCTCTCCTTCCCACACCTGCCAAGTGAGTCAGCAGGAATACCACCATTCCCAGACCTTGGGACCCAGTGACCTCTGCATGAGGAGAGGATCCTCTAGGAGCCGGGGCACCGTCTTCCTGGGCCACATCCCCTCCACCCTCCTCAGACCTCCCTCTGGTCCAGGGCCGCCTCCCCTCGGCCCTCCAGCCAAGGCCCAAATCCATCCAGGGCTGGTGAGGTTGGAAGCTCCTGGTTTTGGACACGGGGGACCCCTACCTGTATCTCAGGGTCTCTTGGCCTCAATTTTCTCATCTGTAAAACTGGGATCAACCAGGGCCTTCCTCCAACAGCTGTGGGGAGGACACACACGTCCAGCCTGGACCACAGTCAGGGTTTCAGGAAGAGAAACTTGCTGAGTGTCGCACTTCCGGTCGGCTGGTTTGGACAGTTCCCTCGAGCGCCTGCCCCTGACACATTTATCTTTTGGTCGAGATAAAGGCTCTTTCTGCCCCCAAGGAGGTTTCGGGGTAGACCCATGGGGGGTTACTCCCGTGGGACAAGGGTCCGGCACTGGCCACCCCTAGCGTCTGCTTGAGAGCCAGGGACAAGTCCACATGCTCCACTTGGCATTCGAGGCCCGAGGATCTGGGCTCTGAGCTCTGCTGTGCTCCCTCCGCGAGGACCCCTGACCACCCGAAAGCCCTCTTGCTTCCCTGTTCTGCTATTCTGGGATGAGCTGCACAGTCAGGCGTGCCCCGAGTCCTGGTCCATCTCCCCCCGGCCTGGCACTGCGTGAGGGAAGGGGGCAGGGCATGAGAACACAAATTCTGCCCCAGCGGCTGAGTCCCGATGCCATCGGTCACCCTGTTAAACAGGGGGAAAGTCTGACGCTCAACCCTCGGGTTCGTCATGGGAGGCCCAGCACTGAGACGACACCCGGAAGGTGCTGCTGATGGCTGGCGTGGGGCACAGCTGGCTGTGACCGCCGCGACTTGTCATCATCACGGTGCCCGCGGGATGGGAAGGGGTAGCTGCATCCTGGCTGGATGGCCTGCCCTGGACCGCGTGGGGCAACCCTGCCTGAAGCCCCTGCTGCCTGCTCCCCCAGACACGCAGGCCTGAGCCTGCCCCAGGCGGGGCATCGTGCTGGGACCCTGGGGGACCCTGGGATCTGAAGGCGAGCGTGGTTGTTGCCCCCAGCCCCGCAGCTGTCACAGAGCCACAGAGCATCACCTCGGAGAGGTCAGCTCCTTTCTTCTCCAAGGGAGAGGGCGGCCCAGAGAGGTGAGTACTCGCCCAAGGTCACGCAGCGGAGCAGTCACAGAGACAAGACCCGCACTCAGGGCAGGTGGACTCTAATGCCTACACTCCTTCCCACAAATCCTGTCTTAAATTACATTTTTTTAAAAGAATCACACAATATGGTTTTTAAAAGATTCATTTGAGGAAGAAACTAGGACTGCCTCTAGGTTCCCCGAGACCGACACTGACTCAACTCGTCCTCTGTCCTGTTTTCCCACCCAGGTCTGAGAACAGGCGGAGGGCGGAAGGAGAGGGGCTGGGCCCCCGCAGCACCAGGAGGGCCCCCAGGGGCCAGGCCGCACTGGGTGGAGTGGGGAGGGGAGGGGAGGGGAGGCCGCTGCAGCCCCAGGCCTGCAGGCCAAAATAGCAGAAGGGGAAGTGGGCAGTTTTCAGATGAACAAGGTTTGCAACAAGCCCACGGCGGAAGCGCTCTCAGGGACGGGCTGAGCCGCCCCAGCTCCCAGCCTCCCGCCCCCAGAGGCCCTTGGCGACCCTCCTGCCCAGACCCCCAGCCCCCCTCTTGCTGTGGGTGGGGAAACTGAGGCCCGCCGGGGCCAAGGGGCAGGATGCAGGGTGGGGATGGAGTCGGAGGCCCCCACCCCAGCCCTGGGAAGGCTTTATCTGCTGGTCTCTGCTCTGTTTCCCCAAAGAACCTTGGCCTTCAGATGAGACCGACCAGAGGTCTCTAAGGGAGGTGCCTGATGCTCGGGCGGCTGCTGCAGGGCCCAGGGAAGCTCCTGTTTTGGGCCAGGGAGGCGCATGGGGACAGCCATGGCCTCCTGTTGACAAAGCAGGGCGCTGGGAGCACCCCGGGGCCTGGAGTTTCTCAACCCGCCCCACCCCCCCCCCCCAGCAGGGACCTGGTGGCCAGGCTGGGGGCTGGGTGGGAGTGGTGGGGATAGCTCTTCCTCCGGGCCTGGGGCAGGACCTTGGCCTGCTCGCCCGAAGCGCCTCTCCCATCCTCCCGTAGCTCTGCGGCAGGGTTGTTACAGTCCCATTTTACAGATGAAGAAACCAAAGCTCATGAGGCCTCGGGAGCCCTGTCCTGGCCCCTCAGCAGTCTCTGGAAGTGATGGGACCGCCCCGGGCGCTTCCCAGGGCTGTGCAGGCTGGGCCGGGGAAGGCGAGGGCAGGAGAGGGGCCGGAGCCCCAGAAACAGCCGCCCCCGGGGTGCCGCAGGGGCTGGGCCAGTGGCCCCTAGCCGGGGGGCACCAGAACAGAGCTGGGGCCGAGGAAGGAGGTGCGGGGCGTCCTGGTTTCTTCCCGACCCACCCAGGAGGCAACCAGATGCTCCTGCCAGGCCACCAGGGCCTCTCCCATCCCCTCCGGGTGTCGGGGGGTAGCCTCAGGACCCCCGGCTCAGGCCCGGGCTCCAGGCACCCCTGGGAAAGCCTTACCTGAGAGCAGGGGGGATCCTCACTGCGGCCACCTCATCCTGAGCCCACACACCTGCCCGAGCCGATGCCAACACCAGAGACACTGGCGGGCAGCCGGCAGGGCGGCAGGTTTCCTGTCAGCCACTGAATCAGCCTTCACACATCCGCTGCTCTGCCGGACAGGCCCCGCTTGCAATAGACGGAGGCGGGGAGACAGACAGAGAGGCAGAGAGACATGGAAACAAACGCACGCAACATGCACACTGAACACACACATGTGAACCCGTCTCAGAGAGGAAGAGACACATAGAGAGACAGGGAGAGAGGGAATGAAGGATGAAATGGGGGTGCTTGCACAGACACACACAGGCGGCCAGAGAGTAAGACACGGACACCCTGAACATGCACAAACACAGAAGTACACGTCCACACTAAAATACACACACACACACGAAGAAAACCAGAGAGACAGACACACTCACAGAGAGAAAGAGATACACCTGCAGGTAAAGAAGGAGAAAGAAATAGAGACACACAGAGACACATAGCGGATGCGTGCCAGGGCAGACATAAGGATGGCCAGAGGCAAAGACGGAGCCGACAGACACCGACACCAGACAAAGGGAGACCCAGGGCAAGGGCAGAAGGAAAGACACGCACGGCTGCTCCTCCAGGCCCGGGCGCCCTTGTACTCCCGTTTTCCAGATGAGGCTCATAGAGGTGCAGAGCCGGCCACTCCCTCCACCTGCTGCCCCAGCATCCAGCCAAAGAGGCGAGGAGGTACTGGACAGGTGGCTGGGTCCCCCAGAACCTCCTGTTAGTGGTCATCAAACAACCTGCCCAAGGCCACTGACGCCATCGGTCTGGCATCTCAGAGCCTGAGCTCCTCAGCTCTGGGCCCCTCTCTGCTGGGACGGGCTTTCTCTTCTGGTCCCAGTCCGGCCCAGCCAGGTGATGCTGGGAGTGCTGCCGGGAGGCCCAGTGGGAAGCAGAACAGAACCGCCAGGGCTGGGTGCTCACTGCTGCCACCCTGTGGGGGAGAAGGGTGGTGCGGGGACCTGGCCCTTGGGAGACCTCGTGGGCCCGGAGCCCCGGTTGCCCTTACCCTTGCAAGTGGGGGTAAAGCAGGGCTAAAGCCAACCTCGCCTGACTTGCAGACCTGCGGCTGAGAACCGCGGCTGCCTCCCTCGTTCCATGTGGGGGCAGCGCTGTGTGTAAGCCCCTTGGCAACTCTTGCAGGAAGACCTTCGTTTTCTTATGCAAGCTGACTGGAGGCCAAGAGGCTAAGCTGGATTTCAACCCAAACCCCAAAGCCTGTTGTCTTTTCATCACTCATGAGTTCAGGGGCTCGCTGGGACTGCCTGCCTGACCCCTCCTCACCCGCTGGGACAAGCCTGTGTTGGTTTCCGTCCAACCTTGGGTTGTGTGCTTGCCCAGGTTTCTGTATCTGCAGGGATGGACAGAAGGTCCAACATGTCCAGTGGGAATGGAGCTCTGTTCCACATGCTGGTTTCTGTCAAGGGCCTTCTCATTCATGGAGGATGTGGAGTCGACTGCTGACTGCCAGCCAAGTCTTAGGGTCCGTCCACAGTGGCACCCAGGATCCTCTCTGAGCCCATTTCCCATCTATAAAAACAAGGGTCTGTCAACCCAAAGACCCTTTTTGAAATTGAAGGGGAGGAGGAGCCACTCAATCTGAATCCACTCCTGAATCCAGGAGGATCCATTGCCCCTTTTTAGGCAATTCTCCAATTCCTCCAAGTTCTATTTTATTTATAGATCATTCAGATGTGAGTTAGATAAGCTTTTAACTAGGCATTTCAACCCCTCTTCACCATTAGACATTTTGTGTCAAGTTGTAGAAATACTAGGTGCCCGCCTCTTTTCTTTCAATTCAATGGTTTCTGGTATTATTTTTTAAGTTGTGACAAAATATATGTAACATAAAATTTACCATACCATTTCTAAGTGGGCAACTCAGAGACATTAATTATTCAGTTTCATATAACCATCACCACTGTCTTGTTTTCAGTTTTCATCACTCCAAACAGGACTGTCTGGGTTTTCAACTCACAGCTGAATGTCAGTTGTGTGTACATTTGTTACAGAAGCAAGCTAAGTTCTAAGAACTCAACAGTTTTAATGCTGAGAATCTTCTGGGGTCATACATCCTTTAAAGGTTGATGGGAAGTGATGGATTTTCTTCAGATACATGCATATTGAGCAGCATATACAACATTCTAGAAGCCCCTGGAGTCTGTCTATAAAGCTGTCTGCCACCCTCAACCTTTATGATACGAACAAGAATCACTCTTGCCCCCTCATGCCCAGGCATTCATGACATTTATCTTCGGTCATGAGCTCACTACCCAGCAGAACCAGGAATATTCCTTCATTCTTCTGCCTCCCCCCCAGCTAAGTGATGTTTTTGTCATCTATGTGTATTTTTTTTAGCCTTCAAAGTACTTTTTAAAAATTGAAGTATAGTTGACCTCGTGTTGTGTAACTTTCTGTTGTACAGCAAAGTGATTCAGCTTTACATACACATTTCCTAAAAAAAAAAAATCCTTTTCCATTATGGTTCATCATAGGATAAATATAGTTCCCAGTGCTATATATAGTTAAGACTTTGTTTTCCATTCTGTATATAGGTGTTTGTAAAGTGGTTTTTTTAATGTATAAAATTATCACAGCTGTTTGGCTGTTATTTCTCTTGGGTGCATCTCTGGGAGAGGCCTAGAGTGTGGGACCACTCAACTTTCAGGCTAATGCTCATTTCAAATTAATTCCCACAGTGGCTGTACTCACCGACTCTCATTTGTTAACACGTGAAGACCCACAAACTTGCCAGCAACTCGTCTGTCAGGCGTCTGGATCTTTGCTGTTTGGATGGGTATAAAATAGTACTTTGTAGGCCTGATTTGCAGGTCCTTGGCTGCTAACGAGGCTGAGCACTGTTTATTTCCTCTTCTGTGAAATGCCTGTTCACTGTTGCTGTTTCCCATTTTTTCTCTTGACAATTTGCAGCAAATCTTCTTACACCTCGTGTGTTTTTAGTTTGTAACGTCATTTATATTTTGAAACTTTTACTTTAAATGTGGTGGCCATATTCTGTATTTCAAGAGTATAATACATGTGAGAGACTTCTACCAATTCCAAGGAATCCTGGTGCTACTTACAGAACACTTCGGTGACCTGGAAAGCATCTCTGATCTCCCTGCCTCCCTATCCCGCTTAGAAAAGACAAGTTTCCAGGCCAGTAATGATTTTATTGCCTTCTGTCCCATGGTGAACAGGTACAGGAAACATTTTCTCTAAGTTCCTGAACTGAAAACCAAAGAGCCCACCACTGCAAAGGAGCATGCTTTTGTTCGTATTTTTAATATTTTACAGTTAGAGTGTGGTTACAGATGTGGGAAGAGATTAGTTGTAGGTTATAATAAACAGTCTTCATTATTCTGGCTCATTCTCATGACAAAAAACTGCAAAAGGAAAACTCTTAGGTACTAGATGTGTTTCTAAGCCTGTTAGCCTTGCTCAAATAAAAAAGTAACTCAAATATCTCAATGGTATTAGATTGGCCAAGAAAATGCAAAAGACAGAGCAAAGCTCCTCACCAATAAGGGCAGAAGTGGCCAGGCCCAGGGGCCCAGAGTAGCCCGCTGACCGCCCAGCCTCCCCTCAGGGGAACCTTCTAGGGTGATCCACTGCCCTACAGGCTGAGTAAACTGTTTAGGGAAGGTGGGGAAAACCAGGAGAGTCATGAGTGACATCAGAAAGCTTGGGACGAGATCTGTCGGTCTCCCCGGACGGCCCTGGTGAGGCCGTCCCGCTTTGCAGACAGCACGCGGCAGCTGAGCCGGAAGCAGTTCGCGGACTCCATCCTTCTGGGGCCGGCGCAGCCCCGCGAACAGCACTGGGCCCCGTCAGGTCCCAGGGAGGTGGTCATCCTGCACAGTGAACCCTGTCATGGTGTGAGTGACCCCGCGTGACCTCAACAGACATTCGGAATTTGAAGACTGAAGAGAAGCAAAAGTGTACTCAAAGTGCAACTTGTGAAAAGAGATTAATTACAGTAGGGTTGTTTTAAAAATAAACAAAACAGGCATACAGTCTCTAGAGGTTGCATCGCACCATCTCCTGACAGCAAAATGCTGTTTCTAGCATGTCTCAAGCCAGAGTGGCTTTACAAAACTCAAGCAAATCAGTTCTTCTTCTAGACTTAATCTCTACCAAAAAATTTCCTTCATGGAGAGAACCAGGCTAATCCTCAGCAATCACAAATTGAGGGAACACTAGGTAACAACTTCAACACCTTCCTTTTACATACAGCCCTCCTGACCACTGCCCTCTTTCTGCTCCCAGCTCATTGGGACCTCCCTGAAGGAATATTAGGGACAGGATGGGAAACTCAGGCTTCTGGAAGCCTGCTGTGGAAACTTGTCCTCTCTTGGGACCTGGAGAAACAATTTGGCCACTTGACAAAATGGACTCTGAGGTAAGACCATTCTTAGAAACCTGAACCCCTTATTAAAAGGGCCTCACTTGGCACTCTACTAAAATTGGTTTCTCTGAAGCCAGTTCAAGAATAGTAGAGAGAAACCAGATGTCAACGATCCATCTAAACCGACCTGTGGAACATTCACAGTTAGTACAAATATTTGTGAAACTGACCCTATTTATTCAGGTGCTTATTTTGGGGAAAGACATACCTTCCACACAGGTACTAAAATGCTTCCCCAGGGCCTCTAAAAATGGTGCTTGTGAGAAGCAACCACAGCCGTTACAGCCATATCTGGGGGAGGCAGAGCCAGCTGCAGGCTCATTTCAATCACAAGAAACCTCTGTAAACGACTGGGAGACCTAGAAGATCCTTCCGAGGTCCACGGGCCCGCGAAGACAGAATCCTTGGGAAGGCTTCTCATCATGAGAGCTGGTTTTCAAGCCTCTGGCCACCAGTCCCAGGAAACCCCTCCAGGAGACCAAGTCCCACTTGCTTAACTCTGGGCAGAGGGTTTTCAGCCCCAGGGATGCTTCTGCTTCCCTCTGAACGAAAACACCAGCTGACATCAAGTCCTCTTGCCGGGGAGCAGCTGACGTCAACAGTTGCTCAGGCACTTGCTGGAACACACCCACCCTCCCCG